GGAAGAAGAGACAAACTGAACCAAGAAGCTTCTTGACAGATGATCATCATGAGAACAGATTTTGATAAGTCATAAAAGATCGATTGAATTCTTCCAACCAACTGCACAAGTAATCTAATTATAGCAATAAAAAATTCCAACTCAAACTGTAAAAGCCAGTCTAGCAACCCACCAATTAAGAAGGAAGAAATCATTCTCAAAGTACATCCAAGATAAATGCTTCTGAACAAAAACGTGGGGCCTCCACCTTTGTCAGAAATTCTCATATGGTAGCCTAACTGAGTATCAAATATACTTCCACCATTCCATAACCAAAGTACATAAAATCCTCAGAACTCAAGTACAACAGTTTGAGTGGGAACACAATTTTCACCTTGTTGTCAGAGTTAAGAACACGAAAGTCCTCGAGTGAAATGATACTCTCACACACTCTGAGTACACATTTAAATGTGTTGTATTTTGGAGGGAGTCCATTCAACGCAATGATCAGAAAGTCTTCATCAGCAAATGTGACACCAAGAATAGAAAATCTATCCCTTGTTATTTAATTCTTTGAAAATACTGGGAAATTGAATTTGATCCCTTCTTAATGTTGTAAAGATCAGTCTGTAATTTGATTATACTAGTTTTTGTACTTGGGAAGAAAAACTGGTTTTGAAGAAGAAACCACATCTCTTGAGAACTCTTGCTACCAATCACATAGGAAATAACAGATGAAGAAAGTGTGGCAGTAATTAACAACATCTAGGAATGATCATGCATTTTCCAGACTTTGTACTCATCATATTCAATTCTTGAAGATAAAGTACCAGATGTTACCTCTGAATCTCCTGAAGAAGTAGAAGAAAACTGAGTGAGACAGAGATTTGATCTATAAACGAACCCCATAAGTCCATGGACTTCAACCAGCAACTGCATCTGAAAATGCCATTGTAGATAGTTGGTCTCATCCAGTTTCACAATAACAAACGTTGAAAAGGATGAAATCAATCCAGTGATCGGTGACTGCAAGATTTGAAGTTGATTCGCAGTTACCATTTCGAAAAAATTGTAGAGAAATCTGTATGAGGAAAAGACTCAAACACCTGGTGTGCACAATCTTTCAAAGCGAAGAATGAAGAACTGGGCTTACGGTTGTGAACCCACAAAAAAAAGCAAGTCTTCCTTCAACTACCCACTTTATCACACAGAGAGAGAGAGAGCTAGTGTAGTTTGAGAAAGTTAGAATCGGCCAACAAGTCGACTCAGTTATCACAACGAAGATGGCAAACAAGCCAACTCGAATAATGCTCGCAGTGAATGAGTCGACCATTAAGGGCTACCTGCACACCTTGATCAGCAGCAAAAGAAAGAATCGAAGAAGATGGTTACAGAAGAAGAAAGAATTTCATGTAGCGGAAGCAAAAGAAATGATCAAAGAAGCTGATCAAGCTTTAATGGCGATTGATACCATGTTAACCATTATGTAGGAAGAAGAGAACAAAGAGATTATAGAAGAAGAAAGAGAAAACAGAGGAAACTTAGAGAGAGAAAGAGAATGATTTTTCACTTGTATTTTCTTTATTGATTTTTTGGTTACAAACTGTTGCTATATAAATGGATATTCACCTAACTGACTTATATGAATCTTACAATTTCAACAATCCTAACTGCCTTATCCATATACTCTAACACCCAGCAGCTCACAAGGTTCGACCCGAGCCAACCTTTTAGCGCCCTAGCGCCGCCAGTACCTCAGCCAAGCTGAGCCGATCCTTTAGCCTCACCACCTACAGCCCCATGACACCCTTGCCACGCCACCCACACCTCCTTGACACCCACCAAGTCAAAATTTTCAAGTCCTAAGACTCCCAAAAAATTCAAGAAGAGAAAATTTTCAATTTTTTTCTTACCTTGGTGCGGCACAGAGAAGAAGAATTACAACAAGAGACGACTCTTTGCAAGGGCAAGAAAGAAGAACACTAGGGGAGGGGGAATCAACATTTCCTTTAGCTTCTCTTTCTTGTTAGGATAATAATTGTTCTTCAAATTTATTTAATCCCCTACTTAAGGCAGAATTAAGTAAGTATTGGGAATAATTATTTTCCTTTTCCTAGAAGAAGTCTATCTCCAAATCAAGAAAGAAGATCAAGTTCAAATTGGGAAACAACTTCACAAGCCTAAGCAGCTGGGGATTCCTACACCTACAATCCTTTTCAAGTGTGCGGCATAGTAGGTGTGGGGGCATTTGTGGAGCCTAAAATAATCCCAAATATTCTAGAGGCAACACGTGGACTTTTATTCAAGAAAGACAAGATTGCCCTCAATAAATGGACAAGCTTCTCAGATACTCCCACGCGCAGCTCACACCCCTGTAGGTCTCAATAGCTGAATACAACTGCCCACAGCTCATTTGCCCTTGGCAAGGAATTAAAGATAATGATTAATAACCCAAATCCTATCTTTAATACATTCCTAATTGAAGATTGACTCCAATCAAGTAAGTAATCCTAATTTAAATCAATTAGGGATAATTATACCATTATCTCAAGATATTATTTCCTATTTAATATCTTGGAAATATTTAGAGAATATCTCTCCATTAAACATTATATGGCTGGCCCTAACCCTATAAATACCCCATATTCTACCAATTTTGGAGGGCTTTTGCAACCCTAAAAAGTCCAAAACACTTTACTCTCTCAGCTCTGTTGACCTAACCCCACCTCCCCCACCCCCCCCCCCAACCTTGTGGGCGCATGAGGCTTAGGTCTTTGATCAAAGGTGTTGATTGTTTTGCAAGTGCATTTTTTTCAAGACTGAAGACGGTGGAAATTTGCATCGACAGTGTGCTCAGAATGGGAGGTATAAGTAGGCTTTGTCTTTGTTTGGTTAGATGAGGAGGCCAAGTGTGGAATTGAATCAGGTGGGCACCATTATCAGCTTGTGCCGAAATAACGGACTTGAATTTGGGAAGGTGGATTCATTGGTACATTGAAGAGCGATTGTAGATGACGTCCCAGCCGTTGTTGGTGACTCTGTACAATGCATTCATACAAATTTATGACAAGTTGTTAATTAGAGGTTATTTTAGGAATAATAGTGAGTGTGGAAATAACGTTTTAACTTTTTATGGTGGGTGAAATTATAATGTGGGTGAAGAAATAAGACAACGGGGTGGGTGTAGTAGCACTCTACGCTTATTCAAAACATAATTAAAAAGTACATTCAATTAGGGGTTGGTTTGGTTTCATTCGGTTCAGTTTTTTGCCAAAACCGAAACTGTACTGAAATTTCGATTCAGTTCAATTTTCTTTCTCTTTTTTTCGGTTCGGTTTTTTTTTTTTTGGTTAAATCAATGTTGCACACCTAAAAAACTGATCTTAACATTCTTCTTGAGTCTTGATACTAATAAAAGCAAATCAACTTGTTTCTTATCTCCTCAGTAATGGGGAATACCAGAACAAGCATAAGAATTCTAGAGAAGATGATCTCTACTATTGATACCGTTAGGGTGAAAGGGCAATCTGTTAGTGGTATTGTCACATGCATTGTTAGGAATTGCCCGCCAGTTCTCTCTCTCTCTCTCTCTGTCCATGTTTCTATTTGCAAGCACGTCTTCAATTGCTTATATTAAGGGCAGACTCTTTACCTTAACCATTGCAAAGTTATATTGCTCTTTCATTAATTTGTTTAATCTTCATCAAGTCATATATGAAAAGTTAAATTGCTCTTTCAATAATTTTCTTAATCTTCATCAAGTCATATATGGAGGATGGACTATCGCTAAAATGGCATCATTTTAAGTGTAAAGGGATTTGGTTTGGTTTGGTTTTCAAACCTCTAAAACCGAAACCAAACTAATAAAGTTCGGTTGGGTTCGGTTTTCCTTTTTTCTGTTCGGCTTTTTTCGGTTTTCGGTTTTCGGTTTTTTGGTGTTTGGTCTGGTGTTTCCAGTTTTCGGTTTTTTGAACCCACCCCTACATTCAATATTTCAAAAGTTTTAGTCTTTCAAACATCCACAAATCTCAAGCATTTCAATTCAATAAGAACTAAGTTTCAATTAAATAAAATCTCATGCTAGAAAAATATTTATTAATTACAACATAACATAAATATAAATACATGTAAACCTCCTAATTCTTAGTCATTACAACTTATAATATGTTTATAGTGAGGTCACTAAATAGCTGACAATAAGCTTACATGTGCAAATTAAATTAATTAATAATTTAAAGATAGATGGTCCGTTCGGTTTATTTTTTGTCAGTTTCAAAAGTATCAAAACTGAAGCAAACCAAAACTAAATACGTTTGATTCGGTTTTTAAATTGTTTGACATTTTTTTCTTGGTCAAAATCAAACCGAACCGACTAATATGATTCCATTCGGCCGGTTGAGTCAGTTTGATGCCCACACCTAGGCTCCAACATGTAGTATAGCATCGTCTCAAACCCAAGTACAAATCAAAGTGTCTTTCTAGTGTACCCAAACTGTATTGTACTTGTTGCATTAGTGTACCCAAACTATATTGTACTTGTATACAACAAACTCAAGTGATTAAGTGCATTTTGTACATTCGTTAAGTGCGGTACTTTTTATTCAATCTGTCCTTCTCAGATATCTCTCGGATAAAAAAGAAGAGAAAATAAATATATTGCTACACTTCATTGATTAGTTACAAGTTGTGTAGAGGAATTCATCAATTGGTTGTGAGTAAATATTAAAGAAATTAAAATATAAAAAAAAACAGAAAATTATTCCATGAGGAATCATATTGGTCGTTAATATATTATAGGGGTATGCTATCCACACACTTCATTTTACTTCTCACACACTTTTTGATAATTTATGTCCGTTGATCTTTTTCAATTCATCCGATCCGACGCTTGAAAATTAAAAAGGTGCGTAAGAAGTAAAATTGGGTGTGTGGATCACACGGTTCACACCCCATATTATATGCATAGCAACAGCATAAGATAATCCAACATCGAGCATTCGAAAACTGAACCATTATATTTAGGACTTTTTTTGTTAATAGTCTTTTTAGAGAGAGAGAGAGACCTTCGGGTGGCGCTTCGGGAAGAACAAAACCGGCCGGCGACTGCGAGTACTAACCGAAAGCACAATTGAAAAACCCCAAAGAACCGAAAAAAGTTTCAAAATTTGAAATTGTTGGAGCAATTAATCCAAAACCCATCAATGCCTCAACAATTCCAAAGCTCTTGCTCTCATATATGAATGTATATGTGTGTTTTTATTGCCACAGCTTCAAAGGCCAACAGTTGATAGAGATCTCCATTCTTTTTCAGGTGAGGTTCCATTTCTACCTCTATCTCTCTACTTCTTATCTGTCAGTTTGAAGCTCAAATGTTTGGTGCTCTGTTCCAATCTTTGAATTTTGTGATCTGAGTTTTTTTTTGTTTTTTCCAAATAAAATCTTCCAATTGGAAGGCGGAAGATCACATGCTTGCTTCTGAGTCTGCATTGACATATCACCTGATTAATTCATTGATACTCCACTTTGTAGGAAAGATGATTGCATTTAACTCAATCTTGTTTCATTGATTACTTTGCTATGTTGAAATTGTTCTTTTTGGTTCAGTAGTTAAGTAATTATCTACTTTGTAAAGAGGCACCCTATTCACTTGGCTGTCGAAAAGTCGGAATTTCTTTCCGCAATTATGATCATTAATTGGACTTTGTCGAATATGTTTAAATTCCAGGGTGCTAGAGAACCTGCTTTGTCAACGCTAATCTGATTTCTGTTTTGATTTTCAGTATGGATACATTGGTTAAAAATATGCGTGTTCCTGGAAAGAAATCATCCTTTAAGGAGTACGGGAAACCCGGTTATTCCGGTTCTCTGGCAAACCTGATTTCGTCGCCAAAAGTTAAAAAAGGTGGAAAAGTTCCACATGTTAAAAAACTAAAATCAAAGTCGTCCAAGACCATTGTTGCTTCAGCCTTGTCAAAGAAGAGAGGTGCCAACTCTTCAAGCAATGCGTCAAGGAATTATGATGCTTACAATAAATTGCTGAGTAGAAAAGGATTTCGTAAAGAGCATGATACAGATTCTTCCAAAAATCCGTCTGCTGTGAAACTTCAACACAACAAGTTATCAGAGAACGGCTCTGATGAGAAAGGAGAAAAAAGGAGGAGAAAGAAGAAACCGAAAAAGGATAAGGTGGAGTTGGATGAAACTTCTCGCTTGCAGAGGAGGACAAGGTACCTTTTGATTAAAATAAAACTGGAGCAGAACCTTATTGACGCTTATGCCGGTGAAGGTTGGAAAGGTCAGAGGTATGTACGATCATTTAATACATATCTTCATTTCCTGATTTCTGCTTTATATATCTCATAAGTTCTATCAATGATTTAGTATTTAAGCTAGACATAGGAAAAGAGTAATGAAAGTTCGAAGACTTGGTTTGAAAAGAATAATATTTATGTTAAAATAGAATTTTAATAAATAGGTGACTGTGGATAGTTTTAGAAGCTAATGTTTTGATTATTCGATGAATGTACATTTTCAATCATTTTAATAGCAGGAGCACAATCTTGTAGATTTTATGCACTCAAAGTCTCAAATTAACTGAAAACATTGCAGTGTTAAGTTTGAATTAAATTGCAATCATTTTTATTATACGCAAGTGATGATGATCAGTTAAGCATGTAGAATGTGCGGTGTTTTCTTGGGCTCCTTTCTATAGTAAATAGTTATGCGGTTTAATTCGTTTAATTATTACTTTTATCACAGTCGAGAAAAGATTAGGCCTGAAATGGAACTACAGAGAGCCAATAAACAGATTTTAAATTGCAAGCTTGGAATCCGTGATGCAATTCATCAACTGGATTCTCTGAGCTCAGTAGGAAGCATTGCAGATTCTTTTATTTCTCCAGATGGATCTGTTTCTCATGAACATGTAAGTACACGGCATTACTATCCTTTTTGTATGTGCCGACAAGGGATGTTTGGATCCCTAATTGTGGTCTCTGCTAAGGTCTGGACTTTCCGATAGCTCCCAAGCGTAGGCTACTGATAGTTTTGGAGCAATAATGATTTTATTGTTTTTCGTTAGAACTGATTCTCCTTGGAAATAATACTTCATATGAGGCGTTACCTCCTTATCTTGGTTTCATGCTTTTCACGTTCTGGTTTTTCTTTCTATTAGATATTCTGTGCAAAGTGCAAGTTGAACGAAGCTTTCCCTGATAATGATATTATACTATGTGATGGGACATGCAATTGTGCATTCCACCAAAAATGTCTTGATCCTCCCTTGGATACTGAAAATAGTAAGTTTCTCACCTCTTCTGAATTTGCTTTGGACCTTTTGGCGACATACCAATTATGTTTTCTTAGCAAAAGCTACTTCTAAGTTCAATTGTTAATCTACAGTTCCTCGAGGAGAGCAAGGTTGGTTTTGCAAATTTTGTGAGTGTAAAATGGAAATACTAGAATTAGTAAATGCTCATCTGGGGACCTGCTTTCCCATGAACAGTGGTTGGCAGGTTAGTCATTGCCTAAATCATTGAGAAATGTCAAAATTTCACCCCCAATTACTTTTGGTTTTGCTGCTTTAATAATTCCTATATCTAATGGCTCTCTTTGGAATATAGGATGTCTTCAAGGAAGAAGCTGCTTTCCCCCATGGCAAGAATTCCTTATTAAATCCAGATGAAGAATGGCCTTCCGATGATTCTGAAGATGATGATTATAATCCAGAGAGGAACGAGAACAGCTGCAGCAGGGGAGGCAGCAATGACATTGCATCAGAAGAGGAATTTTCAACTGATGTCAGTGTAGGTTCTGATGTATCTACCGACGGGGAAATTGTTTCCGGCCGCAGACAGAAAAGAAGTGTTGATTATAAGAAGTTATATGATGTGAGTATAGAAGCCCAAATTTTTCGAGTTCTTTTTTTCCACTTGTTCTTGATAAATAAAATTGAGATAGAACTCTAGACTGATAACAGAATTGTAATTTTTTTTTAAAACAAGGCTCGACCCTAAGCCAACAAGACTCCTCTCTTAGCAAGGGTCAGGCAAAACGTCTATCGTACACAGCCTTACCCTTGCTTTGCAAAGAGGTTGTTTCCATGACTCAAAACCGTGAACTTTCGAGAATTGTAATTTTTAAATTTCTAATTATAGTATGACCTTTAATTCCTTGTACCTTATCTTTACATTCAACTGGACTCCACTTTTGAGTCTGACAAGAGGAGAGTTGTAAATTTCGAGGTAATGAATTACTTAGAAATTGCTTGCTGGTGTTCTTTATAAATTTGATTGTGGATGGTTTGGCAATAAAACATGCCTATTAGGATATAGTCAACTTTTGAAATGCTCGTATCATATTTTAATCAATATATATTAAACCCTTTGAGGTTTAATTAAAGTTTATATTGTGTGGATAATAATGGGGCACTGTATCTGTTGTATAACAAAGGTTCTTTGAGGTGACGGTCCAATATTCACTGTGTTGCATATTTGTTTTCTCCTAAGGAAATGTTTGGAAAAGATGGTCCTTTGCTTGAACAAATTAGTGATGATGAAGACTGGGGTCCCAGTAAAAGAAAGCGGAGAGGAAAAGAATCTGATGCAGCCAGCACTCTTATGACTCTCTATGAAAGTGAAAGAAATCCAGATGTTGACCGTACAGAAAAGAAATCCAGCCAACACTCTTCAGATACGCAAGTTAGAAGGTCATGTTTCCGAATTCCTCGAAATGCAGTAGAGGTATTAGAACCTGTCCCTTTCCCCTCTCTCTCTCTCTCTCTCTCTCTTCACTTGCACCCATAATGATTCTGGCGTAGCTATTTTGAAAATCTGATGGTAGTATATGTAATTTCCTAGACTAAAATTTCTGCTGTAATTTCTTATTCCAGAAGCTCCGCCAAGTGTTTTCTGAGAATGAACTTCCTTCTAGAACTGTCAAGGATAATCTTTCAAAAGAATTGGGCCTTAATCCTGAGAAGGTAATGGCGATCGATGAACTACAGATTGTTTGTGCCTTCTTGAACCGTCAACTAATTCGTTGCTTGGTATGAGTTTTATTGCTTGCCAATTTGGATAAGGGCAACGTTTTTCATCCAGTCAAATACATTGTCTTTCTGGATTCTGCTTTATTGAAAATTTGGAATTATGGTGTGAATCTGAGGGACTGTTAAAATATGTAGATATGGTTTTGTAGCTTCTGATCTGCCACTGATATAAAATGGCTATGATCTTGTTAGCTCTTCCATTGTTCTAATAATTTTAATGTTGCAATTTCCAGGTTAGTAAATGGTTCAAGAACGCACGTTACTTAGCCCTGAAAACCAGAAAGGTGAGCTAGTTGTCCATGTTATTTCTCATACGCCCATCTTCTTCAATTCTACTGTTGTTTTATTTTTTTTCGTTTATCTGTTTTAGCCTCTTTGTTATCGCTACTAAATCAAAGGTTTGTATGGAGTTGGAAATCTTTTAAACAAAGATTATATTGGTGAATGAGCCATGGAGAGTTAGGATCTTAAATCTCAACTCCTGAGGATTTTTTGTCTCTCAATAAACTATGTTGATGGATCTTTTGCACAACAGGGAGCGAGTGATAAAGACCTTGACACTTTTACTCCTGGAATCTCCAATGAACCGGGATATGAAAATGTGACTGGAAAAGCTGCTGATCTCATGGCATCAGATTCAGATGATGATACCTTAGCTGAAACTGTGGTCCATTCGCCAAAGAATGTTAAGGCCTTCCGGAGAAAGCATCCAAAATCACTAAGCAGCCCCTTGAGGAAGAGTCAACAGAAAGGTCCTTCGTGTGGGTCATGTGCAAAGAGCAACGAGGTCTTTGTCCTTCAGAATAAGGTTTGTGAGTTTCTGGAAATTTGCCATCTCGTTTTCCATCCAAAAATCATATTAGAAACCAACTGCACTTCACCTGACTTTGCAATCTCAGAATCCCCATATCATACCTTTTTACATACGTGCAAGCAAACTTCTCATACAATTATCTCCCAGAACTATGTTTTTGTGGGAAGAAGAATTCTGGTATATCAGAGAATTCTTCAGGAACCCTCACCCTTTCCTTCCTCAACTAGTTCACTTGGTTAAATCTTCTCTTAGACTTGTGCTTGTCTCTGCTTATTTTTCGTAAAATATAAAGTGGCAGATTAGGGACTTTTTTGGTTTTTAGATACTATATTTACTGCCAATTATCTGTGTTGAAAATATAAAGTGAAAACAAAGATTACTCATGTGTTGGTTTGCTTTCATGTAGGATGGAAAAGAGTTGAGTGATGATGTGAGCTTGAAGAAGCTTAGGAATACACGAACAAAGGAGAAGAGGGCCAACCTTATCGCTGGAGGAGGTGAAGATGGATGTCGAGTTGCAGAGCTGGAAATGGAGAGACTATGTAAAGCCAAAGGTAGGCTAGAATACGTGAGACAGAAATTATTGAAATTTCAAACCGTGAAGGCAAAGCAGAATTCAAATATATCTCGATTGCATGAACAGCCTGTGATTTATGTTCCAATAGCAGAACTAAAGGAAAAGGTTTGATAATTTGACAATTTTCTGAATGAAATATAGCATTTTTTTGTATCAGTCATCCCGTCATTTTGAAATTTTATTTGTTTATCATTTTGCTTGTTGTACAAGAATACTCTCTCTCTCTCTCTCTGCACACAAGATATTAAAATTACTCCATATCTGAAAACACACATCGAATCCTGGAAAACGGATTGGCACTGTTGTACAACTTGAAATTGAAGTTAAGACGATGATGAACTACGAGTAGAATGATGCTGCATCAGTGTGCATTCATTTAGTGTGAAATATTCTGCAGTCTGAAGGTTGCAGTTCAATTTCCAGTTAAAGAGATTTGTATTGTTTGTCCAATTATTTATTTTTATTAGAGGGGAGAGATTTCAACCTGCTTCGATCGGAGATGACATCGTTTAAGATTAACATGGTTTTAACATTTGAGTTTACAAAAGGTTTATTTATTTATTAATTAATTTTTTATGGAGGCGAATTTGAAGTTTATATTGAAAAGATGGCTCTTGGATTAGAGAAATTTTTTAGTGTGCCAGGAATAATTGGTTAAATTTTTTTTTTTTTCAAGTTTTCAACCAATTATATTATGACATTGGTATACCGGGTTGCGTTCTTAGCATACTAAAAAATCTCTCCTTGGATTGGACCTAGTGGCTTCATTTGTTCTAAAGATATGTTGAAGAAGAAATGTTGTGTTGTTTTAACTTGAATGCAGGAGATGAATTATTCGTTAAATGGAAGGATTAGAAGGGAAGCGTTTCATTCATGACTAAACCCTTAAAATGAAAAAATCATTCTCACTTCAATGTACCTTGAATTTGGAGAATTATCTATTCTAATCCAGTCTTAGAGACCCAACGAGGCTGGTGATGAATGAAAATGGGATGATGTTAAACAACATGGTGAGTTAGGCTAGTTAAGCAAGGTTACATGACCATCCTTTATTTCTATCTCCATTTCTATAAATTAGATCGTAACAGAAATACTTTTCAAGTGGTAACTACATTTTACACTCTTCTAGTTTGAGGTGATTTTCAAATAAGACCACGAAGTCCTACTTCTCAAATTGCACACTAAAATTTTAGAATTGTATCAATTTATATATTTTATCTCTTTAAACATCTAATTCTCTATTAAATTAACGAGTTAGCCCATATAAGGGTCCCACGCTCAACGTGTCATCAATTTAATGGGATGATCCAATTTCAATTCAATAGGACCAAGGCATATTGATAGACCCAATTTCAATTCCTTGCAACCTCAAAATAAGAACCATTTTAATTTATATCTTGATGCAGCAAAAAGACTTGTCACATTGTGTAGTCCAGCATATTCCAGTTAACCCCATTGAAAGATGAAACAGTAAACACTGGTGTCTAACAAGGAGGTTAAGCTTAATAACAACAAAAAAAGGGGGTGGGGGGGAAGGGAGAGAGAGAGGCACAGAAGCCAGTGGCTCGTGCACTTTGCCTACAAAAACCATAATCCAGTTAACTGTGGTCAAAATTTCTAACTCGATTTGATATCTATGATGTACAACGACTCAACGAGCCAGGTTCTATACACGCTTATCACAAGTTTTCACCATATCATAGAGTTTGTATACTTTTTGTACCTACTATGGGGGTTTTCAGATCACCAGCACTCTTGGTTCCGTCCAAAGTATGCCGTTTAGCAGATAACCGGGGCCTCAGCTACACATCATAAGAAATTAATAAGAACCCAAAGAAAAACCAGTACGATAATATTATGCTCCTACGAGCAATTAGGCATATATAAGAATTCAGAAAAGGATTTTCAAGCAAAAGCACATGAATTTGAAACCAGGCAACATCGTATAAATTTGAATACTAAACTTTAGCGTCTCATTTCAACTCTCTTACTAAATCTACCCATGCCTACCCTGACAAAAATAAATAAGATTGAATTCAAAGGGTAGTCTTGGTTCCGGATAGTCAGCACTCATCATTTTATAATGAACACAGCAATCCAAAAACATATTTATTGGAGGAAGTGCCGTAACATACCGTCTCAATATACTTCAGTTGCTTTAGAACTTGATCCGTTTCCAGTTCCTGAGCCAAACACAAAAGAAGAGGGATGTCGTTAGATTTAAAGATGGACACCACACAGACCACCGTATGAAAGTGAAGAAACCATAGAACAAAGATAAAATCAAAGTGAAGGAAGCAAAATACATTGACATAATACAATAGTGAAGTGGTCTACCCTAATGACTACATCTCAGTCATTAAATATCAAAATCCGACTGAATGAAATCCCAATGACCCTCAGTAGGTTCGAAATGGATAGTTGAGGTGCACAATTGTTGAGATGCAATCCCAACCATTTATATCTAATCTAGCAGTTTAAAATGTGATCCATTCTTTTGGGTCGCAGAAAAAATGTGATCACGTTTAAGGATCCTATAAGAGAATTTGCGCGGATGCATACCTACTAGTGTTACTCCTCTAATTCTGAGAGTTTCATACGAAAGATCTAAAAATTCAAAACTAGTCTATAAATAGAGATGTAAATAGTGTCAGTGATATGTCCACCTGAGGCACGTTACAATCAGCATGGCTTGGATCCCAAAGGATAGAGCAGAAGCACTCCCAGCCATCAGTTTGGACTTCAAAAAGAGGAGCCCTGATATACGAGAATCTTCCATATTTGTTAAAATGTCAAGCATAATCAACAACAAAAGTAGAAGATAAACTAAGAGAACAAAAGTGAAATAACACAACTTTAGATCAATAGTATTACGTGACATATCAAGATACCAAAAAACTCGTTCTGAACTATTTTGTGCACTTTATATTTCAAGATAATTTCCGTAAAAAAGAATCCAGCCATAAGATTTGTGGTATAATTTCAAGTGGGAAGGACAAGGTTCCGGGTGGGAAGAAGGCTAAAGTTTTTAAGATTGCAGTGTCTTAGCTGCGATTTGGATTATAAGGATGGAGAGAAACATGAGTTTAGCCAACCTTCAATCACTCTCCATCCAAATAAAGGGGTAGGTTGAGAAATTGTTGCTAAATTTTTTAAATGCCTCGAGTCTTTGAGGTTGCAGTGTGTTACTCTCATCAAATAAATAAGTCCCATTGTTGATTTTTTGGCATCCAAATTGGTTTTCCAGTTCCACAGTGTCAAGTCTTAATCTTCAATCACTAAGACCAAAGAATGAGAGAGATGGAAAACGAATAAAAACACCCATCGAGAGTAAGGAAAGGAGAGAAGGGAAGCTTTGATGCATTCTTCCAGTACCTAAAGTACCATCAGTCTTGGATTGGGGTTATCTCTCGAATATTTTACAACGATCCGGTTGACAAATCAAAAACAACATGCATACATTCGTATCGGTGTTTCATGTTCTCCATTAAAGTAATGTCACTCAAATATATTACCATACATATCAGAAACTTCCAACTAAATAATCAGATCACAACCTTCACAGGTTCCAGTTAAGTGTTAACACAACCATAAATAAATTACCTGCGCCACTTTCCACAAATAGTTCTGTTTGCGCGATCTACAACTTCTCGACATTGAAGCCAATTACCTATAGTGCTATGTCTAGAAGGTTTATTGCAGTTCAGCCCCTACAACGGAAAGATGTGTCATTACTCCATAAAATTTCCAAATCTCTCATGCCAAATGAAAAGCTGATTACAAATAGAGACACGTCAAGTACTTACATGGAATCTAGCATATTCTGACGAATCTATTTCCAATGGTTCACCAATGCCATTGATATCACTATATCAAATCAAAATAACAAAAGCTGTACATTGTAAGTAACATGCAAAATGAAAGAAAATAATGATTCGAAACAGAATTAGGAAAGGCAGATGATGACAATTTTCTTTCCTAGAACACATGAGAAAAAAAGATCCCACAAAGGTAACTATGCAGGACAGCAGCAACAAGAAGATCTGTCCTACCTGGCATGCTAAGTCCTCTGAAAACAAGGATTCAAAGCACAAAACCAAATGAAACTACTTACCCTCCCATATAAACCACGTAGTGGCTACCTTCTTAGTACATATCATTTGAAACATGACCAATTGAAAGGAAGAGGGACAAGTAAAGCAGGCAGTTTTCACAAGGATAATCCAACTAGTGAAGGCAGTCTATAAACTTCAACTGCATCAAAAGTAATTAACGGAATAAACATACCCATTTGTTGGGCCAGACCAGTTAGGAACTTCCGCTTGAAACCCTTTGCCAACCCGAACACTAGTTCTATACAGTTCAATGTCTCTCAACATTAACATTATGGGATTCATTTGGCCCTTGGGTGATGCTTCCTTACTCATGACACTTGCGATATTCGGCGATTTTTGGGTCACTTGCTCCTGTAAAATCTTATGTTTCTTTTTCAAACAAGAATGACAGAACCATTCATCAATAGGTGGTTTCTTCATACGGGGGTGGCAGCATGAAATGTGAAATGCCTCTTCACAATGATCACAAATTAGCATTTTCAAAGTGGTTCCAGAACGACTACAAATTGTGCATGACCGGCGATGGATGTCACTGCCAATGGTGTCAGCGTCTTCAGCAGAACCACTGTTCATGGTAGCCTGGGAATCCCCAAGCAGTCCATGGCTTCTAAGAATAGAGATGCATAGATCCTTTTCAGACAGGTCTCCCACAACCTCCATAACTACTGCACTAGAAGAGGAGCACTCACCTGTTTCATGTACTTCAGTCTTCACGGAAGTTGAAGCATGCTCCATATTTGACTTTGATGATGAACAACTATCATTTACGCTGCTTACCTCTAAAAGTTTTTGCCCGTTATTTTTAGGTGCTTCATCAGAAACTAATTCCTCACCAGCAGAACATCCATTACAAGATTCTGAATTTAAAACATGAGAGACTCTCTTGCATAAACGAGGAGCTACAAAATGAGCTCGAGTGGCTTCAGTTTCATGCTCTAATTGAGAAGCAAGTCGTTCCTTACCAGCAACTGCAGAAGCTTCAGAATTTAGAAAAGAAAAATAATCACCACTTATAGTGTTTTCTTGACCTCCTTGAAACCTGGTGACAGGGTTTCTTCGTAACTTCCTCCTTTTATAAACGAGATTAGGTGCAGAAGTTTCAGACATCGTGACTGCTGAAAGCTGGGAAGAGCTACTTTTATAAATCAAGGAGCAGGAATCATCAAAATTCTTGTTTTCCTCAGAGATTGGTTGAGCTCTTCTGCAGCTGCAATGATCATTGCATTTTGTACACATCTGCCAAGTTTCAGCACCAGGCACCGAATCACATAAGTCATCGTGTAACCCACGGTTAGATACACAAAATATAGCAGCTTCAATTGAACTAGGAAGGAAACTCAGACTCAACATTTCACCTGAAACCACCTCACTAATATCTGGTGTCTGTTGCTTCAAAGTACCACAGTAACACGCTGAATCACTCTATAATATGTTTGAAATATGAATCATATGACAGAAGAGGCATCCCCCAAAGTTTTCCTCATTCTAATGCATCAACCTCTCTGTTTCCAACAAGCAAAACAAGTTTTAAAATGGGGATCATATTGTACAAGTTCATGCACTTCTTCAGTTGAACTCAATTTTATAAGACAAGTTTCGCAATGCAGACGGGAAAAAAAAAAAAGAAAGTGAGACTCTTCATCGTCCAAGCAAAAACAGGTAACAAAGACTTTCTTGAGATACACACACACATCATGACGAAACTCTACATGGTACTCCACAAACACATCACCAACAATAGCTACATCACCCAAGGAATTCTAACAAGGTAGGGGGCAACCAAACAAAGAAAAAGTAATTTACAGATTCCACTGTTTGCTTACAGTATCTACAGTCAAACCTACTTAAGAAGCCGCCTTAGGTGGGCCAGTATTATAAAATTTCACTACAAGGAAAGCAAAAGGACTAAACCCTAATTGATTTCTTTGTAGTAAGCAATATCCTCAAACACCCGTTTTTGGATAAACCCGACTTTCATCCTGCATCGCCAAGAGAAGTTCCAACAAAATAAAATAAATACAACCACCCCATAAATAAGTAAACAAAATTTTTTAAAGGTTCCAAAATAACAAATGAAGAGAATCTTTTAATATCTTTAACTCCGTGACAAAGTACAAAGCACGACATGCTCAGTTTCTAATAGAAAAGGATGCCAACCCGTTTAGATTTCTTTATGGTCGCATTATTTGTTTATAGAAAACAAAGGGAAAGATTTAAAATAAAAAAAAGATAAAAAGAAAAAAGGGGGTTAGAGAGAGAACAATATGAGAAAAGGATAGAAACTGCTAGGGTTACACCAATAGGGATTCTAGGAATCACACAAACCTACAGAGAAGCAAAGTTCCATCAATTTTATTCAATCACTAAATCTGTCTAAAGGGAATCATAAGGGTGTAATTAATCAAGACGTAAACCTAATAAAACAGGAAATAACCGAATCCTAAAGAAAAAAGAAATTAAAGACTAAGGACCTGCTGGAACCATACACCAGAGGAATTTATTTAAAGCCATAGACATGAAACAATAAACACCCTTGACCCATATACCTTACATTCCTCAGAGTGCTATGACTCTTCTAAAGCAATGTGAACCATAAACACAAGTAAAAACGCATTGACACTGCTTAAAGAATCTCTCTCCTTCTGATATATCCCAACATCAATACGAGACCCAAAGAAATAACATATGCAATTTCATAGCATCGTCGACCAATAACTAGCATCTTCCCTTTTTGATGAACTAATCATCACAATCCTCTAGTGAACAAATCCAAAAAGAAGTTCCACTGTAGGTGGGATCTCGTACCAAATTTCTTTCCAATGAAAAGAATTTTGATACAAAACCAAAAAAGTCCTAACGAAGGTCCTCAATTCCACCATCTTCACCACGATAGAAGTATTTAAAGAAATCCACAATAAATATAGGGATTCAAGAAATACCACCTCCAGCACACACATACAATCATTTTTTACAGCTTTTAAATCAAACAAATTATGGCCGGCACTCTTCAATGGGCATTTCCACACCGCACATCTTGATAACATGCACTCGCCTACCAAGTGTTATCTGAAATACAAAATTCTTTTATGTGCTATATAACTACTTTTGTGATACAACCGCCGAAATCCTCATCAGAAATTTTTCCCCAAAAATATCTCCACAAGCTATTCAAGTCCACATCATAAAACCAATTAAGCTTCCAGGATGCGAAGCCCCCATTCACAAGGGGCAATCAGTTTCTTCAACCCATCAAATTGCTCCAAATTTCAAAACTCCTATAAGAACAAGTGATGCACTGCAATAATTTCAGTTAATAACCTAAATGAGCCTTGTGCATGCCCAAAAGACCTAAAACATACATATTTAAGCAACAGTCACTATAGCAGTAGATACCACCCTGCCAATATGAAAATTGTCACTTTGGCATGCATCAAATTTGTCGAAATATGACATCTGGTATATTCTTAATGACTATTTTTATATCGATCAATAACCAGTATCAGCACAAGCTTAGCACTGTGTAAAATCATCAACAAATCATGACACCTGAGATTGCTAAGTTTCTGGTTGAGACTAAAATCAAGATGCAACAACGGAGCAGGCAGAGAATAACTAAAAACAATCAAGTCATGGCATGAGACACCAACTCACAAAACATAACTATGAGAAAAGCCTTTGGGCTTTTTCCGTCAAACATATCGCCAACGTCTTGGAGAAATCAACGCACTCTATTGTCCGAAACAAATTTAACTTGGACCCCAAAGCAGATTTTCCTAGAACTTCGACATGGAGTTGATACCTCATCACCTCCCGCACTCAATGCAACATTTTCCTTGTAATTTTTTTGAGATGCATATCAAAACTAAAACAGAAACATCTTAACTAGAAAAGCTACAAATTTACCGATTGAGAAATGCCATATGTACCAAAAATTTGTAGCAAGTCTGTTATACACATCAGCATGGCGGCCTGCCACAAACTCCATATTCAAGGGAGGTGGGTTATTGGGTAATGCAACACATAAGTAAAATTTCAACTGGCATGCCCATAAAAAAAAAAAATTAGTAAAATTTCATGGAGCACCACACACTTTCCTTAGTTATTCCCTGCATACCCATAGATGCATATGTTTTCTTATTGCAATACTTGGAAACCTAATTAAAATGAAAATGAAGTCCTTATACTTAAGAAATGCTACTTACGAGGAAACTATTTTCACAATACCAATAAACAAAATGTTCTTCCACATATAGCATCTATTAATTAGTACCCGATTTGTTTAGATCAAATTTTCAATCATCAAAAATCCTCTAATGAATAATGTCCCCTGCCCAAAACAGCAGCGGCAACAACAACAAAGCCTTATCCCACTAAGAGGGGTCAACTATATGAATCCTAGAACTCCACTACACTGGGTTTTGTGCCATGTCTTCCATTAGATCCAAGTAGTTCAAGTCTTTTCTTAGAGTCTCTTTCCAAGTCTTCCTAGGTCTTCCTCTACCCCTTTGGCCCTGAGCCTCTGTCTCGTAATCACATATTCTAACCAGAGCATTTGTAGGTCTTTGTTTCACATGTCCAAACCACCTTAACCGATTTCACTCATCTTATCTTCAATTTCGGCTACTCCTAATTTACCTCGGATATCCTCGTTCCTAATCTTGTCCCTTCTTGTGTGCCCACACATCTATCGAAGCATAGAAGCATTCTAATTTCTGCTACACTCATTTTGTGTACGTGTTGATGCTTCACTGCCCAACGTTCCATGTCATAAAGCATTGTTGGCCTTGTTGCCGTCCTATAAATTTTTCCCTTGAGCTTTAGTGGCATACGATGGTTGCACAATACACCCGATGCACTCTTCGACTTCATCCATCCAGCTTGTATTCTTTGATTGAGGGTCTCCATCCAATTCTCCGTTCTTTTGCAAGATAGATCCAAGATAGATAAAGCGTTCACTCTTTGGTACTTCTTGATCTCCAATCCTCACTCCAATTAAAGTCTTAGAAGAAATCCTCCATCAAAACCAGTTCCTAGTGATTCAAGTTTATAAAAGTTAAAACATAGGGTTCAAGAGGCACACCTCCATAATAGACAAAATCATGTGTTACCTTCCAAATCAAACATTGGGCATTTCCACACCACATATCAGGCACAAAATATACATGCTTACAATCTGCTACTAAGTGATATACCAATCTTTGTGCTCCAACCACCGAACTCCTCATCAGAATTCTATTCCCAATCAAATCTCCACAAGAGCTACACGTCTGCAGACAAAGGAATTGAACTTCCAGTTTTCAATGCCCCTGTTCTGCCTCAAGGAAAAACCTCCAACCCCTAGAAAAGGAGAAGCGATGTAGAGCAATAACTTCCCAATAACTTACATTATGCAAGCACAAAGCACTTGGTGAACAAATATAATTGCCTTGTAGCATGACATATCCAAGAAGATACATCACTTTGTTGAAACTCACACCAGTTATATTTATCAGCGTTATCTCAGCTCATTCTCTTTTTCCGGTCAAATCATAGTTCATCTAGAACCAACATAATTTGTACGCCTAATTTTGCAGGACTTAAAAGCATTAATAAACTCAACCATCCAAATGTAACTGGACAAGAATACTAAAACGTCATGAGGTTGTGGGCATAAGCCACCAAATCATAAAGCATAACTATAAGCGAAACTTTTGGTTCTTTTTGTCTGCTTAACATATTCTCTAATGCCCTGAAGAAATCTATGCATTCTATTTAAGGTGCGAAATTAAGAAACATATCAATTAAAGAATTGCATTTTATTTATTCAGCAATGTTATACGGACTAAAATTTAGTATTATCTATTTTTCAAATTAGCACTGAGGCATGCTACAAAGACCAAATTCAAGGTGGGTAGGGTAGTGTGTAACGCCACACATAAATTAAAAGTTTAACACGTCCCCTATGCATATCATAGAAAACCACACACTTTCCACATTTGTTTCCTGCACATCTTTCTTTGATCGCAATACTAAGTATTTAATAACATGGAAAGAACAGATTCTTTGCATTTACGGTTATTACTTAAAAGGAAACTATTCATTCGATGCCAATATGGAACCTAGATAGACATACAGTTAAACTTCTAAGACATTTTTCGAGTTTCATTAACTACGATAAAATAATCACCGAATAAATTTGCTGAATTCTCTACTTTTGCAGTCTTTCTTCATACATTACGATGGATGGGAAATAAATACAGAAACCAAATAAGATCAATCACTCAAAACTGTTCCACAAAGACCAACTAAAATCTGGTTCCAACAATAGGTGGTGACATTCAACCCCAATTCCAGGCACAGAGTCTAAAACAACCCGAATTTTGATTTCGCTTTTCTTATATCAAAACTAAACCAAATCAGTGTAAAGTAAATCTAACAAACGGGGGGGCAAAGGCATGGATATGGACCCAATTTGGTCAACCCCAACTGGGAAAAGCAACCTAGATCCGTACCCAATTGGGGTTTATACAAATTTCAACAATATATGGCATCAATGTTAGTAATTAATCGCATAAAATTATAGGGGAAAACTATGATATGCAGAAAAGAGTAAAGCATTTAAAACTAAACTAAGAAAACCAAAAACAAGAACATATATATATATATATATATATATATATATGTATTTATAATTGTATATATAAGAAATTGGGACACCATTACCATAGATGTGCATAGGATCAAAGGCCCAACACATGCAAGAGGAATAACTTTACCGTTGTTGGGCGCTTTCAACTACAGACAAGAATGCTGCAGAGGTGCCATTGTCTGTTGTTTGTCTGGAGGCAAGGACGAGGAACAGGGGTTTACGGAAAACAAACGAAGAGCCGAAGACAGAGTGGGAGATGGGTTTTATGCCTTTTTAAACACTATTTTTCTTTGGGTTTTCCTTTCACAAGTTTCAAGATCAAAAGGTCCATTAACCAATTTAATCCAATATATATATAGATTGATTATTTTTGTTGTTCCTCAATAAGTATATTGAATAATAAACACGCACCGTTTTTCTCCTCTTAGTGTTCATTATAGTCGATTTCATAAACAAAAACTGATATATTTATTTAGCTTCTCTACATATTTTGTTCAAGATTAAAAACCAAAAACGACATAAATATACATTTGCAGATGTTCGATAGCCCAATAAATCATCCTATGACTAGAAAATTACTTTAGGACTTTAGAACTGTAGGGCACGTGTCTCAAATTGTATCTTTCTTACTTTTGAGTTTTAACGATAAAGACAAAATAAATGATAAAATGAATAGTATCATGATTGACTTTTTAGTGCAAAAATATGATTTTTCGTTAAAGTGAACAATACAGTGAGCTTTTCGTTAAAACTCCTTATATCTTAAGGTAATCCTTGGACTCACCCTAATAGCGCTAATCTTCTATTAGGTCATTTGTTTGACCGGCAAATGTTCTCCCTTGCCCTCGTAGTTGTAAGTTGAAATTAGATTTCCAAGAATAATCACTCATGTGTTGGTACGCCAATTACTTTTCGAACGTGCTTCAACAATCTTGCACTTGCACAAAAGGTAACTGACACTCATGACATACACTTATGAATCTCATTTCAGCTATATGCATTAGGCAATCGTTACAAATTGGGTTTGACTACACTTACGCATGTGTCAATACCATATGAATTATGTAGTTAGGAATTTCTCCATGAAATGTACAAGTTATGTGGCTTAATCTATCAGCCCATTAAGTCTGCGATTAAAGGAGTTCGATACTCTCATTAGTTTAGGACTTCAAATTGAACTACGAATTATGGACTCTCCAAACAGCCTTACTTAAAACATCGCCCTCATTTGATGTTTAGGATTGGCTTGGCTTGGACAGGTCATTAAATTGCAAAGAATGTTGAATGAAAATATGGATGCTAACTTGCATATTTTATCCAGGTAAAGGTAAAAGAAGGAGAAATCATGAAGAAAACTTGTCCCTCTTAATCCCCAAAAAAATAGTAGGATTGAGTGGGACAAGTTGGTTTTGTGACTTCCCCATCTCCTACTGCCATTTCGACAAAATACGCAAGTTAACATACATATCTTGTATTCGACATTCATTAAATCTAGTGAACCGTCCAAGTCAAACCTACCCTAAACATCAAACGAGCTTCTTAAGTTGCATTATCATCATGACATTCGTTTCGAAACAACCCTTGTGAATTCAATAGCTTGATACAAACAATTTGCATCAACCAAGAACCGAGCTCCTACTCCAACACTCTTATTATATCACATTAACTAATTATAACCACATTATTTGTGAATGGTGAATTAATTCATTTTATTTAATCCAAACGAATTAATTTAATTTATTCATTGAAAACAATTCTGAAGAATTGAAGCCTAAACAATATTTTCGAAGGAAACATTTGACAATGTCTTAATTCATGTTATGTCTGATTCTTGATAAATTTCTGAAACATGAAATAGAAAAAAAAGAGTTGGCTTCTTACCGCAAAGTTACATAGAAAGAAGATATTACTTATTTGAACGTCTGAATATAAAATCTAACGTGATTGTCAGACAACCTAACATGTCATATTTCTGAAGAACAATCGTTCTTCTGGAAAGCCTACAACCATAAGTTAGAATAACATGGAAGGAAAAACACAAACCACAATAGCCAATTCTCAAATTCTACAGTTCTACTAAGCTTATTCCAAAATTTTATAAATTATATAATTGTAGTGATAGTAGAAAATATCGAAGAGATCCATATTTCATGTAGTTTTCCCAAAGTTTTCATCCGTTTCCCTTTCCGAAGTCCGCAAAATCCAATTGTGGGCTGTTGCAAACCTTAGGAAGGTCTTGCTTTGGTCTTGCACTTGATTTTTAACCTCTGAAATCAAATTAACGATTGTTACATTAAACAGTGAAAAAAAGAGGACAAAAAAGGGTACAAACAGAACGTTAACATAACAGAAACTGCAAAGCGAGCAAGAAAACAATCAAATTAAAAGAGAAAATGAACTCGAAAAGACTCGACGGTACCATTTAATAAATGAGGTGAGAAACTACTGAATCTCTACGTACTCATTGCGTTGCTTGTTGAGCAAGAGGCCTATGAGGCTTTGGAGCTGAAAGAAACCAAACAATACAGTAAATTAAAGACATGAAGAAAAATCTCAAATACTTTAACCAAATGATGAAATATTCTAAGTAACGAACATGAACAAAGACAGTGAATCTGACAAAAAATTGTGCTACGTGCTGAAATCCTCCAATGAGCAGGAGTTGACAAACTATAAAATGTAAAAGTAACGATTAGCTTCCAGAAAAATATAAATTAAACATGAACTAGATACCATTAGGGTTTCCCTGCTCATAAAAACTGCGAAAAAGTGAGATTGCTTCTGTTGCCATTATCCCTCCAGTGCATTTGAATCCTTTCCCCTCTGGAGCTCCACCACTATACAACAAACAGAAAGTGAGACTGAGAGACAATAATGTTGGCTAGAAAATCGGAGAATTCCACAGAGTCTTCAGCATTAGCTACAGCTAAGGAATCACCAAAAAACACTTCCAGCTTACCTCTTACAGCCAAGTCAATAAATAGGCAACATGGTTTCTGTATGTTAGGATTGTTTGTACTGTCTAACTAGTTTTCTTTTTGGCTGAATGTATTGATTAACTTATTAAGAACCCACTAAACCTGTGCGAAACAATCAACGTTAAGACCAATTTTAAGGCTTGAGCCCTCGGATAACATCCAGAAATCAAGGATTCAAGATATACACATGCCTGAACTCTTCTCATCAGCACATTCCTTCAATAAGAATCAGCACAATCACAATGACGAAAAGATTTGATCAGATGTCCTCAACACCCCATCTTTAGTGAGAGATTTCATGTTTTGTGATATTAAATTGTTGATGGCAATTATGTGCATATATCTATGAATTTTGTGGTGTGTCTGTCATTCACAGCGGGTTACCATACATAGATACTTATGTGGTTCCCTGGCTTTATGTTATTCAGAAACTGTCTCCCGGAAAGGTACACCAAAACAAGCAAACAATTTGTTAAAGATCACCCAGAGAAAAAGCAATGATTACAGAAGACACTACAGGAAGTCAATCAAATCTTGATTGTGATGTGGGTTCAGAAATGAACCTCGTTTGTGGCTCAGAGCTACTTGAGTGCAACGACAATATTGATCCACACCCACCAAATTTGTCATTGGCACAACCATAAAATACTTCCCTTATTCCTAAACATAGGAGGAAGAGTCACCTATACATTAATCCAAGTGACAAAACGAAGATAAAAAAGTGTCAACATTTATTTGCAGATTATAAGAAAAGGAGCATACCAATAAATGATAAAGCCGCCGCACACATTATGCATGGCTCACATGTAACATAGAGTCTACATTTTGAAAACTTTTCGGCAACTTGTGACTTTGAAAGCCTCCGTTCTCTCCACTGCTCAAGAAGAGTATCAATGGCTTCCATCTCTGCATGCCTTGTAGCCTGCATTTTTATGGCAAGCATGTTAGATTAGAAACTCATAAGTTCCAAGTTCAAAAGGCTTACATAGGAAACAGAGTTCTCATGAACATTAAAGAAAGCAAGCAAGTGCCAAACAGATATATCGCTATAATTGTAAGAAAGACTCCAAAGAATGCAATATACAGTCAGTATATTTTGAAACATTTGATCCAAGAATTTAATCATAGAACTGTACTTTTGAGTCAAAGTAGAAGGCAGGAAAAATATAAGAACAGTAAAGTACCAAGATCGAACTGAACACCCACCCACCCTCATTGAAATCGGTAAGGCATTAAAGATGCAAGCATATGTACACAAACAATGAACAATCCTCAAGATATTTGAGTTAATGCACTAACTGGGTCCCACTCTTTCCTTGTGGTTCCAAGGAAAACTGTCTTTAAGGGTACGTTTGGGTGAGCAACTTTCAAATTCAAGGGATTTAGACATAGTGATGAAGAAATGAATCACAAAAAGTTAAATGGGAGGATTACAATGCACCACTTGAGCATTACAAAAGGAAAAGGCATGCGAGAGGGATTTGCAAATGACTACTTGAAAGGAGTCATTTTACAAATTCTTCTTATGTGCCTTTGTTACGCACATGTGGTGCATTTTCTAGTTCCACCTATCTAACTTTTTGTGATCCATTTCTTCTTTATTTTGCCTATATGCCTTGGAATTTTGAAGTCCCTCCCCCAAACAAAACTTAAGAGAATAAGCAATTGAAATGTGAAAATTATTTTTATGGGCAAACCAGAGACATGACAAGGTATTGGGATTTTCACTAAATGAAAAGAAGGCTCAGAAACAAATATCCAGATAAACCGAAACAATTATTTCTTCAACATCAGAACCAATGGTAAACTTACATTTCGTGTCTCATTAGTTCGATTTCTTCCCGAGGCTATGACCTTCCCATCTTCAACAATCACGCAGCTATTCAATCAAATTTATAGATTAGAAAAGTGCATTAATACAAGGTAGACCCTTGATTTTTAACACAAGAAGCAATTGAGCGCATGTCACATCAAACTTCAAGAAGGTGATCAGAAGAATAAAAAGATAAGATGGGTATATACTATAAATTTTTTAATTCGGCTTGGGAAGCTGAATGAAGTGAAAAGTTGTGTTACCCCTACATTCTTGCCCTAAATGAGCAACAGGGCTGCTTTCAAAATTCAGAAGAGAATAATTTTCAAGCTACGCGTATATAACAAGGTAAACTAACCTATTTCTAGCAGTTATGTGATCAAATCGCCAAAACGGGTGAGTATAAAGCTCAGGAGTATAAAGACTCGTACAAGTGTGGCAAACACAGTTTATGCAATTAACCGAAATCTTACCCAACAGGAACTTCAAGGCTGTCCAAAGCTTCATTTGCCTGCAAAACGAAAGCAGGACCAAATATGGAAGTTATATACAGTAAAGCATAGCAAATTTAATCACCCAAAAATAACTATTAAAAAAAATAGAGTGGCATGCACAGCATTGAATTCACATGATGCATAAAGTTTCCATCATCTGATGGCCTGAAACACAAATTTCTGTTAGATGATTGGAACCAGAACAGCCCTAGAATGCCACTGCGCTCGGTTTTGCCCCAAATCTTCCACTAGCTCCGAATACTCCATGTCTTTCTTAAAATCTTTGTGCAAGTCCCTAGGTCTTTCTCTACCCTTTTTCCTCTGTCTCATAATCGCATTTTCTAACCGGAGCATCTATAAGTCTTCGTTTCACATGTCCAAACCACCTTAACCGATTTTTCACTCATCTTATCTTCAATTACAGTACTTCTACTTTACCTTAGATATCCTCTTTCTTAATCCTGCCCTTTCTCGCGTGCCCACACATCCAACAAAGCATTCTCATCTCTACTACATTCAGTTTTTGCACGTGTTTGATACTTGACCGCCCAACATTCTATGCCATAAAGCATTGATGGCCTTATTGCCGACCTATAAAAATTTCCCTTGAGATTTTGTGGCATACGACAGTCGCACAACACACCCGATGCATTATTCCATTTCGTCCATCCAACTTGTATTCAATGATTGAGATCTCCATCCAATTCTCCGTTCTTTTGCAATATAGATCTAAGATGGCAAAAGCGTTCACTCTTTGGTATTTGTTGATCACCAATCTTCACCCCTATCTTACTTGGACCTCTATTCCCACTGAACTTGCACTACATATACTGCCTTTGACCTACTTAGGCAAAGACTTTTAAATTCCAACACTTCCAGCTAAAGGTTAAGCTTCGTATTTACTATGTCATGCGTTTCATCTATTAGTATTATAACATCTACGAAAAGCATACGCCAAGGGATATCATCTTGAATATATCTAATTAACTCGTTCATTACCAATGCAAAAAGGTAAGGACTTAAAGTTGAGCCATGATGTAACCCTATGGTTATGGGAAAAACTTTCGGTTTATCCTTTGTGAGTTCCTATTACAGTCCTTGCTCCATCATACATATCCTTTATTGCTTGGATATATGCTATTCGTTCTCCTTTCTTCTCTAGAATCTGTTGAAAAAACCCCTTTCACTGGACCTTGTTCTTTGATGTAACCAACGGCAATAGACTAAACTGGCAAATATAGAAAACTTAGAAACACACAAGAATTATACTGGTTCGGCAGAACTTATGCCTACGTCCAGTTGTGATTTCCCTAGGTAGAGAAATCACCTCTTCTTTGATTAATAATAGAGATTACAGAACTTATGCAAACCCTAGAACTAATCTCAAACCTCTCTGCTGTTTGGCTGTTTTCTCTCTCTGCTGAAAATCAGCCTTGCCGCACCCTATTTATAGATATAGGGTTGGCTTACATGTCCTTTACAGATTATAATTCCTATTCTAAGTGGAATAGGAATTTAGACTTCCTTTCCAATTCCAAATAGACTTCTAAGAATTCTAATCTACATTGAATAAGGAAACTAAAATTCTTTCCTAACCCTTTTAGGAGAAGAATTGGTGCACCCTTTCCCTAAAACAATCCTAAACAGAAAAGGACACAATATTGACGAGCCAAAAACTAACAATCTCCACCTTCGTGAGTCAAACCAAGTCTTGATCGTTTGCACCCCAGAGTATCTTTGAACCTTCTTGAAGTAGCTCTGGAAAAACTTCAAGAGTCTTCACCTTGGCAACCTCCTTCTTGCCTCATTGCACCTCAGGTGAGGAGGTGCTCCACTTTAATCAATCAACGAGATTGATCAAGTTCAAACAATGCTTGAACTTCTTGGCCGGCACTATCTTTGTAAGGAAATCTGCGGCATTGTCATCCGTATGAACCTTTTCAATCCAAATTTCCTTAGACTCCACCCAATCTCTGATTCTGTGATATCTTGCTTCAATGTGCTTTGATCTTCCAGAAAAAACCTGATTCTTTGCCAAGTGAATGGCACTTTGACTATCACACTTAAGCTTCACACAATCTTGAGTGATTCCCATTTGACTTACCAAGCCACTAAGCCAAATTGCTTCCTTTCCAGCTTCGGCCAATGCAATATACTCTGCCTCTGTGGTCGATAAAGCTGTAATTGGTTGCAGTAGTGCCTTCCAACTGATTGGTCCTCCTGCGCATGTAAACACATAACCAGAAGTTGATCTTCTCTTGTCCAAGTCCCCTGCATAATCGGCATCCACATATCCTAACACCCCTGCATTTTCCTTTTGCTTCTCAAACATAATCCTTTGTCGCCAAGAACCCTTCAAATAACGCAAAATCCACTTGACTACATCCCAATGTTGCTTTCCTGGATTTGCCATGTATCTGGAAACGACACTGATTGCTTGAGCTATGTCAGGACGTGTGCATACCATTGCATACATGAGGCAGCCCACGGCATTAGCATAAGGCACCTTCTTCATTTCTTGTTGCTCTTCCTCGGACGTAGGACACTGTTGTCCACTTAACCTGAAGTGAGCTGCCAAAGGAGTCGAAACTTCCTTTGCTTCTTGCATGTTGAACTTCTCAAGGACCTTCTGAATATACTTGGCTTGTGATATCCAAATCCTTCCAGCGGTCCTATCTCTCTGAATTTCCATGCCAAGGATCTTCTGTGCGGCACCTAGATCCTTCATGTCGAACTCCTCGCTCAACATCCTTTTCAAGTCTTGAATTCTAGACTTGTCTTGACAAGCAATTAACATGTCATCCACATATAGCAATAGCAATATGATCATCCCATCTTGGAACACATGATAGTACACACAACAGTCATACAAACACCTTCTAAAATTAATTTTCAGCATGAATGAATCAAACCTCTTGTACCACTGTCTTGGAGACTGTTTCAGGCCATACAGGGACTTCCTTAGCTGACATACTAGGTTTTCTTTCCCATATTCAACAAACCCTTCTGGTTGAGCCATGAATATCGTCTCCTCTAAATCCCCATGAAGAAACGCTGTCTTCACATCCATCTGCTCAATCTCCATGTCATGCTGAGCTGCCATTGCTAAAAGCAATCGGATAGAAGTATGCTTGACTACAGGTGAAAAGATCTCATCATAATCCACCCCTTCCTTTTGTGAGTACCCCTTAGCCACGAGCCTTGCTTTGAATCTCACGGCATCTTGTTCATGTAGTCCTTCCTTTTTCCTAAATACCCACTTGCATCCAACTAGCTTTCTGTCTTTGGGTTTAGGAACCAACTCCCAAACAGAGTTCTTGTAAAGAGACTCCATTTCCTCTGTCATAGCACTTATCCAACTATCTCGCTCATCACTTGCTATAGCTTCTCGATAAGTAGTCGGATCTCCTTGACTAATGTTAAGAGCATAATTAACTTCGTTTTGGTCGAACCCAAACCTGTCAAGTTTCTTCTTGTTCCGCTTAGGTTTGTCCAGTGCTATGCATCTTTGGAATGCAGGTGGATTGTTGGGTGGAGTTTGACTCCTTTGGGATATCTGGCGGATTGGAGTACCTTCAATCTGTCCTGTTTCTTGCTCCACCTGATTCCTAACTGGTGAATGATGCTGATGCTCTTCTTCTTCCTCAAAACCATCAGATTCGGCCTCTTGCTCAATTTGCTCCACCTTAGCTTCTTCTTCATCTGAACTGATTAACGGAATCTTTGTTGCTTCAATTCCAGCATCATCCTTCTTTTCCCTACTGCTCTCGACTTTATTCAGAGGCATGGTTGTCTCATCAAAGACAACATCTCGACTGACAACCTTTTTCCTGTTGTTGAAATCCCAAAGCTTGAAACCCTTCACTCCTTTCTCAAAACCTAGGAATATGCAATGTATAGACTTCGGTTTGAGCTTGGACCTTTCATCACTTGGAATATGTGCATAAGCACTACAGCCGAACACCTTGAGCTTGGAATAATCCACCGGCTTCTCAGACCATACCTCTTCTGCACTCTTAAAACCGAGACTGTAGATGGTGATCTGTTAATCAAATAACTTGCATGATTAACAGCCTCTGCCCAAAAACTATCAGGCAATCCTGCATGAAATCGCATGCTCCTTTCTCTCTCCATGAGAGTTCGATTCATCCTCTCAGCAGCTCCATTTTGTTGGGGATTCTTCTTTACTGTGAAGTGCCTTATGATGCCTTCCTGCTTGCAGTAATCGGTGAACTCAATACTTGTATATTCACCTCCATTGTCACTTCTCAGATACTTGATCTTTCTTCCAGTTTGATTCTCGGTTTCTGTTTTCCATTCCTTGAACTTTGCAAAAACCTCGGATTTCTGCTTCATGAAATAAATCCAAACCTTCCTAGAAAAATCATCCATGAAAGTGACAAAATACCTGGCTCCACCATTTGATTTAGTTGGAGCAGGACCCCAAACATCTGAGTGAATATAGCTGAGTTGCTCCTTACTTCGGCTATCTGCACTGCTACTTGCGAATGATACCTTTCTTTGCTTCCCAAGAACACAGTATTCACAAAAGTCCAGTTTGCAAGTTGACACGCCTTCCAACAGGCCTTGCTTGTGTAATTCTTGCAATCCCTTCTGGCTTATGTGCCCGAGCCTATGATGCCATAGTTCAGTCTTGTCTTCTATACTTTGATTTACAGAAACAGCTGCTCCCCCGACTATAGTGGTCCCAATTAACTTATACAACTTATTGGGTTGTAGGTCACCCTGCATTACCACTAGCGATCCTTTAGTTACCCTGAGTCTTCCTTTTTTAGACTTGTACCCATAACCGGCCTCATCTAAAGTACCCAAGGAAATCAAATTCTTTCTTAGTCTAGGGACATACCTGACGTTCCCTAACACTCGTATCATCCCATCGAACATTCTGATTCGAACAGTGCCGATTCCTCTTACAGGACATGAAGAATCATCCCCCATTAAGACTTCCCCGCTGCTGACTTCTTTGAAAGTATCGAACCATTCTTTTACTGCACAC